TCCTCCTCCTCCTCCTTCTCCTCCTCCTCCTCCTCCTGTCCCCCCTCCTCCTCCTCCTCCTCCTCCTCCTCCTCCTCCTCCTCCTCCTCCTCCTCCTGGACACTGGCCATACTCTTGAGGAGGCCCACGGCTCCGATGGCGGGTCGAGCCCGGTCTCCCGCGCGACCCTCTCAGAAGCAGGATGTGCCCCAGAGCGCACGGAGAGGGCGCCAAGAGGCCCCCGAGAGGGTCCCAGGAGCCCCGAGGGGCGGCTCAATGAGCTCTCCACGACGCCCATGATGGCCTCAAGACGGCCAGGAGGCCAAAATCATCGATATAGCCCTCAGGCTTTTCAAGCGTTCTCGCAGTTCGCCGAGTCGGGCTTCTGACATCTGAGAACTGCCCCAGAGGCCTCCAAGATGGTCCTAAGACGGCCCCAGAAGCCCTCAAAAGAGCTTCAGGACGGGCCAGGAGCAGCCCAAGACGGGCCCAAGAAGCCCAGAAAGACGGCCCCAACAGGGGCTTAAGACGGCCCCAACAGGGGCTAAAGACGGCCCTAAAGCGCCGAACGAGTCCCACGACGGCCAGACGGACCCCCAAGACGGCCTCGAAAGGCCAAAAGGCCCCCAAACGACCCCCAACAGCCACCGAAGAGGCCCCAATAGGCCCCAAAAAAAGCCGCGTGTTCCTCCCGCTCCTCTTTCTCCTACATCTCATTCCTCTTCCTCCCAGAAGTGTTCCCCCAAGGATCTCCACAACGGCTAGGAAGCACTTGGCACAATAGCCGGGCAAGCCTTCGGACCATCGTTCGGCCACGCATGCGGTTCCAAAAGGGAAGGGGCGGCCGTAGTTCGCCGTAGGCGTCTACAATGTTCTCTGGCCGCAGCACCCGCCAAAGGGAGAAGAACTCGCCAGCCGGAACAGGCTCGTAGAGCCAGCCTGCCTTCGTGGCCTCCACCATGCTCGACCCGAAGACGAAAACCCTGAGGATGTGGAAGCCACCGATGGCCAACACGAGGAAGCAAATAATGGTGTAGGGCGACTCAATGACGAATTTCTCAATGAGGAAGATTATCATGGCCGAACAGAACGCTGGCAACCAGAAGACGGAGGTCGCCAGCGAAAAGAAGTCGACGGCCTCTGCTGGGCCTTCGAACTCCAGGAAATTCTCGTCGCAACAAAGCTCGAGGGCCACAGCGAGCAACACGATGCCCATGCCAGCCATGACACCCGTCTTTACGGAGTAGGGCAAGTAACGCAACATGCCGCCTAGCTTCAAGCGACCCATGGCATACATGATGAGGCCACTCATAAAACATATCAACATCGAACCGACGAGCAGCGTCGCTAATACGCACTCGCCCGAGCGCCCTTTTGTGCTATCCTCAATCTGCGCCACGAGGATGGACAAGAAGGGGAGAGCCTCGATAGAAGCCGTGGTGATCGGCGTTTCGTACTTCGATCCCAACAGGGTGAATCCCTGGCAGACTATCTGGCCCACCAGGACATGCTTGAGGAACTCAACAGAATCCGCCGATTCTTCGGCGTGTGCGAGACGCTGTCGTTGTCTTGTTCGTCGTCGTCGTCATGTTCGTCGTCGTCGTCGTCGTCGTCGCCAGTCCCAAAAGAAAAAGAGGACGTCCGTGGGTGTTTGGTGCGGGGACGTCACACTTTCCACAGCAAAGCCATCGAAACCCAAGAAACCCAGGGCACCCTGGAGGCAAGCAGGGTGATTCTTGGCATGGGCCCCCACTGTACGGCCCCCCTCAGGCTCCAGGGCTGGACCTAAACGTTGTTTTCGTTTTGTTTTCGTTTCGTTTTTCGTTATGCTCTACCTGTTCTCCTGTACCTCCCTGCCAAAACGAAAAACCAGACACAGCCGAAGTCCAGCCAAAACAGCGTGTCGGTCCAGCCCTGCCAGGCTCCCAGCGCGTCCTGGTAAAACAAGGCTAGGATCGGGATAAATCGCTCCAGAGCGTTCCGGAGCGCTCTCAGAGCGTTCCGGAACGCTCTGGAGCGGCCGCGGCGCCCAATACATCCTCCAAACCCGCCGATTCTCAGAGATTTCGAGTTATCCCGATCCGATTTTGTCCCGATCTTCGCGTCGCTTTAGTCCAGCCCTGCCAGGCTCCCAGCGCGTCCTGGGGAGGGGGGGCCGCCAGCGGGCTCCCGGGGGGAGGTCCCCCCTTCCGGCTCGGCGGCTCCGGCCATGCGGCCTTCACACTAGGGGCTCAGGCGCCGCGTCGACAAGACGATGGCGGCAATCCCAACGGCGTCCATCATGGTGCCAAGTGTGCTGTTCGATGGGCCGATTCTCCACCACCGCCACTACCATAGGGAGGATGAGGAGGAGGAGGAGGAGGAGGCGGAGGAGGAGGAGGAGGAGGAGGAAGGAGGAGGAGGAGGGAGGAGGAGGGAGGAGGGAGGAGGAGGGAGGAGGAGGAGGAGGAGGACGAGGAGCACCTCCCCTTCCCCCCTCTTCCCCGTCCTACCCCTGGCAGCGGTGGTGGGAAATTGGCCTACCACTGTTGGTACCGGCCAGGACCTCGAGGCCCACATTCGGCGGCACCCTCCTGTCCACGGCGCCCGGCGCCGGGGCCGGGCCCTCCTCGGCGCGCCCCGCCGCCCCCAGCAGGCCCACGCCTCGGAGCTCTGCGAGGGCGAAGGCCAGGGCCCCGACGCCGAAGAAGCAGAGGATGAGGCCGCGCCCTCTCGTGGACATCGGGTCGGGGAACGTGAACCACGTCCTCCACAGCCTCTCCTCCGACGAGATGAAGGTGTTGGCCGCCGTGCCCGCGGCATTCCACACGTCCCGGCCTTCGTCGTAGGCTCTCCGGTATGTGCTGAAGATGGCCTCCATGCGCGAGTCGCTGAGCCCGAAGCGCATCACGGCGGTCCGCACGTTCTCGGAGCTGTCGATGTGGCTGCTGCCGAGCTTCTCATACTTTGTCCTGATCGGTGCGCAGTGCCACTTGCCGACGTCTGCCCAAGTGCCCAGGTCCCCGCAGTTCCGCTGGTCAGGAAACGCGAGGCGCCGGACGTTGAGGCCGTCGACAGAACTCTGGGTCAGCAGCGAGAACTCGTCGGCATAGAAGAGCGCCGGTGCCCCCGCGCCGACCGCCACCTGCACGCGGCGGTCGAGGTCCGCAAACTCGAGGAACTCCACGCCGAAGGGGAGGCCCTTGGCGTGGATGAAGGCCATCAGCGGGTCCACCTCGTGGTCGGGAGCCTGCGGGCCCTGCGCCCAGATGACGGGCACGGAGGCCCGCTCCTCCATGCACCAGACGCCGTAGCCACTGGCGTTTCCGCCCCACGGCCCCATGCTGCAGGGCGCGTGCGGGATCCACTGCCTAACCTTCTCCTTCTGCAGCAGGGTCCAGTATGGAATGAGGTCGATCGTGGCATTATAGTACGGTGCCGTCGGGTCATTCGGCCTGTTGATGTAAAGGTGGTTGATGTTCCCCAACTCCGTGAGGGACCCGTAGTCGTTGATGTGGTCGTTGAGGGTGGGCGCACGGGTCACCGGCCGATCCACATCCATGACCAGGTCGACCTCACCGCTGCTCATGAGATGGTAGGCCTGACGTGTCGAGCTGAGGGTCTTGAATTCCACCTTGAGGGCGTACATGCCAGCCAGAAGCCGGCCAATGATAGAGCTCACAATCACCGAGGCGGTGTCCACGAAGACGCCGATCACAACGCGCCTGCTGCCCGACTCGAAGACGAGAGCCTGGCTCCCAGCCAGCGGTGCGTCACTGACGGAGAGCTTGCCTTCCACGGGCGGCAGCTTGTCGGGGTAGGCAAACTCGCCGGAGACGTCGCAATCCCATTCCTCCTTGGTGTAGCCGATGCCCATCAGGGCGTCCCGCTGATGGTCAGTCAGGTCGTCCCAGTTGGTCATGTCCTCGCTCCCAACCCCGTAGTCGTTCCAAATAACCTCCGTGTATCCGACCGTCTCGAAAGCGTGCCTCTGCTCTGGAGACAGCATCGACCAAGTCTTCTTGTGAAGCGTCCATTCGAGAGCCTCCCAATGGCTGCAGTCATTGAGGTCAGAGGACCCGTCGATCTCGGGGCCGTCATCGTCCAGCATTGCCGACGAACCATCGGCACCCAAGACAACATCGTAGTTGGACACACGCCCAGCAGAAGACAGCCAAAAGAACCACAAAAGCGCGAATGAGAGCAAGGACGAAGGCCGCAGCATCCAGGGCGATGCCAAACTACAGCCCAAGAGCGAACATGCTGATCTTGAGACAATTGGCGCGAGGCGCGGGCTACTGGCAGACTTGGGGGGCTCCCACAACTGCTCGATATGACTCCTGGACCTGCACAATGACCCTCATCAGTCGCTTGCTATGCCAACATTGGCGGCGAGCCCCGAGGGGAAGTGAGAAGGGGCGGGCCTTCTCAGAAGGCTCGGAGGTCCTCTGGGGTTCTGAGAAGTTGTTTCAAGTGTTCCCCGAAAGCACAGAAAACTTCTCAGAAAGCGCGAGGGCTTCTGAGAAGCCCCGCCGCCTTCTGAGAAGGCCTTCTCCTTCGCGCATCCTCCCCTCGCTCGCCGCCGACAACAGGTTACACGATGTCTTTTCTGCGGAGACTGCGCACGATACGTGCTCGGAGGCACGCATCTATTTTTTGTTGCGGTCGGCGGCCGCGAGGGATGGAGCAGCGGCTAGAGGAGGGCCGGAAAGCGGGGGCGAAACGCTCAGGCCATGCAAGGCTCGGCCGCAAGCGAGGGGGGAAGTGAGAATTGAGCAGGACCCGACCGTCCCAGCACTTCTATAGGCCTACCACGACATGTTATTGGAACCCAAAAATGTTCTAATAACAATTACGGTTCTTAGAACATAGACCCGATGCGTTAAAACAAGACAGTCCTAGCACGAAATGTTCAAAAAACATGTTGTGCAAACAACAAAATGTTCTTAGAACATTGTTTGGTATGCCTATAGGCACGCTAGGACGCTTCGCCACTGCCTGGGAGAAGGAGAAGGCCTTCTCAGGAGGTTCCGAAGTCCCCCGCCCCGGCCTTCCTGAGAGAAGTGTTCTAAGCCTTCCCCGAAAACTAGAAAAAAATTCTCGGAAGGCGCGAGGGCTTCTGAGAAGTCCGCCGCCTCCTGAGAAGGTCTTCTCCTTCTCGCTTCCCCCCCTCACTCGCCGCCGACAATAGGTTCAACGATGTCTGTCATGCGGATGGTACGCTTCCCACCTCGCGCCTTCCGAGGAAGTTGTTGTTTTGTCTTCGGGGAAGGCTTAGAACACTTCTCAGAGGGCCGGGAGCATTCCGAACCGTCTGAGAAGACCTTCTCCTTCTCAATTCGCCATCATCATCATCATCATCATCATCATCATCATCATCATCATCATCATCATCATCATCATCATCATCATCATCATCATCATCATCATCATCATCATCATCATCATCATCATCATCATCATCATCATCATCATCATCATCATCATCATCATCATCATCATCATCATCATCATCATCATCATCATCATCATCATCATCATCATCATCATCACCATCACCATCATCATCATCATCATCATCATCATCATCATCATCATCATCATCATCATCATCATCATCATCATCATCATCATCATCATCATCATCATCATCATCATCATCATCATCATCATCATCATCATCATCATCTTCATCATAATCATCATCATCATCATCATCATCATCATCATCATCATCATCATCGTCATCATCATCGTTTTCATCATCATCATCCATTCCTTTTCCTTAAAAATAACTCCTCCCTGTCGCGCCCCGAGGCTGGTCGAAAGGGCGGGCAGGCGTTTCGCGTGAGACCACCTTCCATGTATGAGCCAGAAGCTTAGAAATTAGCAACAGGTTCTCAAATGGAGGGCGGTTGGTTTTCAAAATGTTGCTCTCGCCTTAGCGCCGCGCACATCCGCTGTAACAAAATTGAATGCACTTCGCGGGTTGAGGGCGGGTCGTTCTCCAAATGTGTCTCTCGCCTCAGCGCCGTACACATTCGCCTTAAAAGTTTGCAAGAGCTTCGCGGTTTGAGGGCGGGCTGTTTTCAAAAAATGTGGCTGTCGCCTAAGCGCCGCGTACATTACGTTCTAGACTTAGCAAGAGCTTCGCGGGTTGAGGGCGCTTCGTTTTCGAAATGTGGCTCTCGCCTTAGCGCGGCACACATTGGTCCTAACAAATTGTGAGAGCTTCACAGATCAAGTGCAGCTCCTTTTCAAAATGTGGCTCTCGCACTAGCGCCGCGCACAGTCGATCTTACATTGGAGGAGCTTCACGGATTGAGGGCGGCTCCTTTTCAAACTGTGGCTTCCGCCGCAGCGCCGCGAACATTCGGTTTAATAAGCATGTACAAGACGTCCACGGATTCCAAAGGCAACAACTACGTTGATTCGCCGTATTGGCGTCCCAGGAACGATGTTTCGGCAAGGTGCCAGATCGCTAAGACGCAACAACAGTCAAGTTGATTCGGGGATGTGAAGTTTCGAGAATGGTGCTTTCGCACGCTTCAGGATCTTCCAACGCTGGTCTCCCAGCGGGGCACTTCCATCAGAGGATATGAACCCTTGCAAGGGTCTATGATGAAGGAGTTCGGAGGGAAGGATTATTCCGACATCGTTGGTGAGTCTTGAGTTTACACTGGTCCTCCCCCTCCTCCTCCTCCTCCTCCTTCTCCTCCTCCTGCTCCTCCTCCTCCTCCCAGATGATGTCTGCCCCATCTGCCCCTCCCATTTCCGATCGCATTCCCCCCGCCCCTACCAATCTCCGTCCACCCTCCCCCGCGTCCCCCATCGACCCTCATCATCCTCCTCCTCGACCTCGTCCTCCCCTCGTCGACCCATCCTCCCTCATCATCCCTCCTCGACCTCATCACCAGCCTCTCCTTCCATACTCACTCGACCTCCTTCTACACCCCTCATCCGTCCTCATCCCTCGTCATCCCTCCTCGCCCTCACCCTCCTCCTCTTTCCATCCTCACCCGCCCTCCTCCTACATCAATGCTCCATCCTCCGTCCATTCCTCCTCCATCCCCCTCCTCCCGTTAGTACCTATCCTCCTTGCGCTGAGTGGACGAGCACTGTCCAAAGAAGAATAACAGCAGATCGCCGCACGTCCTACCCGATCCGATCGTATATATGACGCAGTAAAAGGGAGCCAGTCGGCACTTGAAGACGTGTTTACCTAGGACGGCCCTGCACGCAAGAGGCACACATAATGCAGCTGGGATTGGGCAGCATGATCGAGGCTTCCGTCGAATGTCATGGTATCTGGAGCAATTGGAGACAAGAGCCTGCTACTTTTGAGACCCTGGACTGCAGCTACGAGTCCCAGAATTCAGAACGGCAAGCCGAAAGGCATTACGAAAACTGCCTGGAGCTAGAAAGCGACAGGCGCAACAGAGGAAGGCGCGAGCGAAGGACGTGGGAATCAAAGCTGATCTAGAAGCAAAACGAAGCGCATCCACCCACCCGCCACGACAGTCTCAAGATGGACCCGAGAAGGGTCCCTCGAGGAGTCCAAGCAGTTTGCAGGAGCCCTGCTGATGCCCTCTCTTCCTACACCTTAACAGCCTAAAAGCGCCGGAGAAAAGTAAACGAGAGGACGATCGGATTTCTTATAGCCACGAATCGAAGTGAACAATGTCACAGTTCCTCCACTCGGGCAAAACAGCAGCGGCAATCGCTGCTCTGGCAACAGCGGTCAAAGTGAATACACATTACGAAAGCTAAGCCACAGACCCCCAGGCACAGAGTCAGACAATCAAAAGCCACCTCCTCCTCTTCCTCCTCTTCCTCCTCTTCCTCCTCTTCCTCCCCCTGCTCTTCCTCCTCCTCCTCTCTTCCTCGTCCTGGTCATCATCATCATCATCATCATCATCATCATCATCATCATCATCATCATCATCATCATCAGCAGCAGCAGCAGCAGCAGCAGCAGCAGCAGCAGCAGCACCAGCAGCCTCATCAGCATCGTCATCATCATCAGCAGCATCAGCAGCATCATAATCCCACCAGCCCTTTGGGCGTGAGTGGTTTAGGGAGCTCTCTCTGTTCTCAACCCCCCTTCTTCCCCTTCGGGGAGGGGTTTACCCCTCCCCCTACCCCCTCCCCCTGGACCTGGAGAGGGGGTTTCGCGGGTGGTTGGAGGGGTCTTTTTCGACTCCTGGAAGGGCTAAAAAAGGACGACCTTCACGAGGATTCTGGCCCCGACGGGGGGAGGGAGATAGGCCCCTCTCCTCTTCTTTGAAGCCAAAACCATTGATTTTACTACGGTTTTGGCCCCATGTTGGCCTCCTGAGGGGGCCGCGCTCATCTTCCTTCATAGCAAAATCATTGATTTTACGAAGGTTTTGGGCTCATGTTGTCCTTCTCAGGGGGCAGCGCTCCTTTGCGCTTCTGAGGAGGTCGCAAGAGGCCCCAAGATGGCCCCAAGAGGCCCCCAGGAGGCTCCCAAGAGGCCTCCAAGAGGCCCCCAAGAGGCCCCCAAGAGGCCCCAAGAGGCCCCCAAGAGGCCCCCAAGAGGCCCCCAAGAGGCCCCAAGAGGCCCCAACGAGGCCCCCAAGAGGCCCCCAAGAGGCCCCCAGAGGCCCCCAAGAGGCCCCCCCCAAGAGGCTCCAAGAGGCCCCCAAGAGGCCCCACGAGGAGCCCGAACGACTCACACCAGGACGAGGGGCCCGAACGACTCACACCACGAAGAGCCCGAACGACTCACACCACAAGGAGGGGCCCGAACGACTCACACCAGGACGAGGCGCCCGAACGACTCACACCACGAGGAGCCCGAACGACTCACACCACGACGCGGGCCCCGAACGACTCACACCACGAGGAGCCCGAACGAGTCACACCAGGAGGAGGGGCCCGAACGACTCACACCAGGATGAGGGGCCCGAACAACTCACACCACGAGAAGCCCGAACGACTCACACCAGGACGAAGAGCCCGAACGACTCACACCACGAAGAGCCCGAACGACTCACACCAGGAAGAAGGGCCCGAACGACTCACACCAGGACGAGAAACCCCAAACGACTCAAATCACGAGGAGCGCTTTCTCTCCCTCCTCCTCCTCCGCCTCGTCCTTCCCCCGCTCCCCCCACAAGGAGGATGCACAAGGAGGCGGGAGGAAGGAGGAACAGGGGAGATATGCGGGGCCAAGCGGACACACGCCTGCAAAACACGACTCCCGGCATGCTTCGCAAGAGTTGCTGCTGTGAGATGGGCTGGTGGGGATACGCGAAGCGTAAAGAATTTCTATCCCAGCAACC